TCATACTGCGTCATCTTTAATAAAAACACTTCTTTGGTTGGTTGCTTGGATTTTGTCATTCTTGTCTTGAAACATAATGGTTGCAAATTGCTATAATTGTTGAATCCTTATAGTGATGTTATTGATCAGTCTGAATTTGGCAAAGGTAAGTTATACATTTATAAGTTTTGTGTAAAGAGGCATGTCCCATACCCTGATACTATTTTTCTTTTTTATCTCATAGCTGTTGTGATTCATATGAGTGAGATACTTGTTTTTTATATCAGGTAAGTTAATAGTTGTGACTTCTTGTGCTACTTGCTAATCTCTAATAAGAGCAGTGATATAGTTGGTACCATTGGTAGTTTTGCTATGAATGTTGAGAAATTATTTGAGGAAGCTGAGAGCTTTTCATTAGGAAAATGATTTTTTTATTGATGGTTTCTCCAGGGATATTCTGGGCTGCTATGCCTACTTTGTATCTAGTTCTATCATATCAGGTGCTTGGATTGAAGAGGGATCTTGGGCATAGCCTGTGTAGCCTGGTTCTTTGAATTTGCCAATATGGGTTAATACTTGCAGATGGTTCATAATTATTGAGAGCTCTGTTTCCTGTAGTGTTGTCTTTATCTATTATATCATTGTCTGAGTTTGTGTCAACTAGGTTCTGTGAGGAGAAACTACTGGAGTTCTCGTGGTCTTTGCCTTTCATTGTCTAAGAGGTTTTTTGATTAATGGGTTTCTCTATTGGATTGGTCAGGTCTTCCTCTACCAAATTGCTTCATGGGCTGCTATTAAAAACTTGTCTTGAGAAGAAGGAGAGGGTATCCTGGGTGGTGATGATAGTTTCAGTTTTTGCTCTAGTTGTAGGTGTCTTTTGTATTGAAGACATTGTTTCTAGTACATAATTTTTGGGTTTCTTTGCTAGTATCAGTCTCGTTTCTATTTAGATAGAATTAACCTTGCCCTTGGTTTTGTTGTTTTCATTGTAGTTTGACCTGAAATTGGAGTTTACGCTCCTAGTTGTTCTGCTTCTAATAGTTCATCTTTCTATTTCATAGTGTGCCACAGATGAATAGAAAAAAGTTGTAATATATTTACTTATTAAAAATTTATTTTTTAAATACTACTATAGTTTTTTAACTACCTATTTAGATTTCATGAAATCTGACTTGTTTTATCTATCAACTAAATAACAGTTATAATTGTTTTTTTTTTTTTTTTTTTTAAAGGCTAGCTCATTCTTGCGCCAGTTCTGAGGCTTTATTAAAGTCAAGATAAGTCCTAGGAACAACCGGGATGAGTAATTACCCGTACTGTTTAAGGATTTACAGATCAACGAATAGTACAAGGGGGCATCTATTTACATCTCATCTAACCAGGATTGGATAACTATGTGACTGTCTAGTGTAGAACTTTTTCTTAATTCTAACTCAGCTAAGGATTTGGGATTCTTTTATACTTCAATCTAATGAAGTGATTCCATCGATTACCTCAAATGTTTGGAAACGGCACTTTCTAGGACTGTAGTCCACCGAACGACTCTGTTGCTATCCCCTTGTGGGGGAGCTAACATGTCAGGAACTTGCCTAAGATACCTAGCATCACCGATGTTAGGGGTCTCTTATATGGAATCCTATTGGCTCCGTTAGTGCTTTAAATTTTTTCTGGGGGCTTGTTGTGTTTCTTGTGCTATCAAATTACTTGATTGGAGTATCGGTCTTGTATAAAGGACATGCGATTCTTCGATTGGTTATCTTGAAAATCGGAACCTGTTTTGTTTATTATGGGCCTGTTATGGACAGTTCTATGGGTGATCGAGTCCTTCTTTTTTTTCCCATTTGAGGGGCGATCTTGTTTGTGTTTCTGGAACCTTGTATTACCTATTTTGGCCATATTCATGGAACCTTGTGTGCATCTTATTCTGTTATGGCTGTGATAAGTGGGTAGGGTCCTTCTTCACTTTTTTCCTGTTCGGTACCTGAGATTGGTTTGTTTTTGGAGGCCTCGTGTTACTCATATTAATCTTTCATAGAACCTTGTGTTGATTTGTTATTCTTACTGTAGGTATGATGAGTGTACGGGTTCTCCTTATTGCCTTGTGGAGTATATGATTATTATCATGGGGGATAAGATCTTCGTACTATCTTGTGGCTGAAATTTCACTTTGTCCTCATGTGGTATTGAACTCTGGACCTTGTGATTGTGACCTGGGAGCACTACCACTGTGCTATTGACCCACAGGTCTATAACAGTTATGATTGTTAACTATTATTAAAACAGATTTATTGCTGTTAATCTGGAACTCATTTATTTAATAAAAGATTCTTATAATCTTTAGAATCTTTTTTATATCTTTTTAAGATTTTGCTATTCATATTATATCATCTATAGAGATAATGATTATATACCTTAATTTTAACTTTTTGATAGAATGCTTTTTTAATTTGGGGATTCTAAGTTACTAATATTTTATATCTTTTTATATATTATTCTAATTTTATAAAACAAAAAGTTATAAAATATTTGTCATAATAATAGTAATATAATTTCTTCTTAAGCAATTTTATCTCCTGCTATAATAAATTCACTAGAGTTATTTTTTAATATAACTTGAAATTCTCTATTCTAGAATAGGTTTATTATGATTTTAATAAAGCCTTTTAATGTCCTAATTATTTCTATTGCTTTTGTCAATATCGTTAAATTAATTATATTATATGTTTTAATTATATTCTAGAAGAATATCTTTAATTTTTTTTTATTTTTTCTATTATTATTAAGAATTTGAATTAATATTACTATATTTTATATTTATAACCTTGTATAGTTAGAACCTCTGAGTATATTATTAGTTTTATAGATATTTTTTATTAAGTTGATAAGAACTTTGATATAATTTTTTTTAAACCCATGATCAGATCAGAACTGTATGTTTATTAATCAATATGAAAACTAATAGAGATATATAGAACAATTGCATTATGGCTAAACTAAAATTTATATTAATTTATTTATTAATGGATTTCAATTTTCAAAGAGCTTTAATCTTTAAGAGCAATCTTGGAAATAATATTTCACTTTATAGTAGATTTTGGGTGAATATCCTTCTAATTTATATATAAATTCCAACAGGTTATTGCTACTTATCATTTTTCAAGGAATTGATTTTGAGAAACTACAAAGAAAAAAAAGAAAAAAAAAAGAAAGAATATATCTAAAAATGCACAATTGTGCTACATGAAAAAGAAAAAATAAAAGTGCTCCATGTTCTCCAAGAATCTTTACTAAAAATCTCTTCTTATTAAGAGTCAACCCTTCTGGAATATTATTCTTCTTTCTGATCATCTGAAAAACCTATTCATCTGTGATATTGATTATTTTCTTGTGATTATCTAAGATATTTATTACTTATTCAAATCTAATGTCTTACTTAATGCTTCCTTTTTTTGATCTTGATTTTATATTATATATACAGAAAAAGATGACTAATAGTAGATTCCAGGTTTCTATTTGACTTTTCAGTCTTATTATATAACCATGATATTTTTCAGCAGCCATGCCTAATTAAATAAATTTTACTAATATTTATTTTGATTGCTATATAATTCTACAATGTCTGAAAAAATACATTTTCAATCCTAAAGAAAGGTAGTGTTTTACATTTCTCTACTTTTTGATCTTACAGCCTAACTAAAATAAGAAAATAATCTTCTTTGTATACTTTGCTTAACTGGGATGATAAGAAGTTGAAGACCTCAGTTTAAATAAATAACTACCTTTTCATTACCTAGGAAATTTAGTGTCTATCCTAATAGCTTCATGATTCTTTTGCTTCAATTACATTTTATTCAGAGGAGTGAAGAAGTCCATACCAGTGATTTCTCTTTTTTTTACCAATGACATCATCGGGATATGTGATATAATTAGTAAGAACTATTTATAGTTTGCTATCAATATGTTTCATGTCGACCAATCACCTTTAGCAAAAGCTATATCAATTTTGTGTTACTCCAAAATTCAGGGTCAAGCTGAAGTAGGTAAAATTCCCTAAAAACTCTGAAAAATGAGCAACTCTAAGAGAGTAAAAACAGTGAAAAGGAAAGTTTTATGATTTAGGCTTTTATTTGTTCATCCATTTATTATACAAAATCTCTAGTTGCACTCTTGCTTCAGGAGATAGGCTTTCAGTACTTTATTATTGGTTTTTCTTCCTTTTAAAACTTTCTCGTTATAGATAAAAAATTGTTTTAACTTTTCTTGATTATCAGAAGTCAAGTTTTTATTTTAAAAGAAATATAAACAAGAGAAAAAAGTTGGGAGGAACTCTTGAAGTTATTCTTCAAGTTGTTTTAAAGAAAGTAATAAGACTTTATTAGTAGAAAAGCATAAAACTTTTTTGCGAATGTTTTTTTTATATGTTGTCAAGGGATCAGCAGAAAGAGTTAAGATTGGCCTTATAAGAACTATGATATAATACTTTTTTATAATTTTTAATAGAACTATAGATTAAGTATTTTAAAGTTCCTATCTTCATGACTTTGATTGTTTTCAATGTTCAGAAATTGGGATGTTGAATTATTAGATGTGAATTCTCCATTAAAATGTGAAAACAACATCATCAGAAGTGCAAGAGACTTGAAAATTAAGATTAAACCTCGAAAGTTCATGTAATATAATCGGTACATTTTTGGTTTTATCCTTTTTCAGAACCGTTGTTAAAAACGCAAAATACCCTTTAAAGAATCAATGGCCTTAAATATTCCGGATAAGATTTCATTGATTCTTCAATGTCTTTTCGTAGTCTGCCGTGATTTCTTATTACGATAGTGTTTCTGATCATTCAAAATTTTCGGAACGTGATACACTGTATAGAGATAGAATAACGATGCAGTATTGAAGTTTTTATCTGACATGCAAAGTCACGTGTCATGTACAATGAAATGTGCGCGTATAAGTATAAAGGTATGATGATTACATCGTGATCTTTTTTTTTTGTCGTCTTTTTTTTTTTTTTGCGCTTATATTTTGAAATGTTTACATAATGTACTGTCTTTTATTTTCTTCTGCTTACCCGAAACCTTGCTCTCCGGCTTATCGTATATCCTACTCTTCCACGTGATTCTATCACTTTCTCCTTCATCTGCATACTTTATTTGGTGATTAAACTTTTTTAAAAAAACTCAAACATGGCTGTGCACCCGAAACGTTTTAGTGATTGATAACGTGCAATGATTTTGGACATGGCTTCGTACCTCCGCAACGTGAATGATTTATGAACTCCTCACATGTTAAAGGAACGAGTATCAAAGTATTGCATTCCCCTAGACACCAAATTCACATTGGTATTTCTTCATCGTTTTGGTTATTTGTTTTGTATAATCCGAGTGGGTGTTTAATGCAGAATGTTGTTTGAATCCGTGCAAAATAAAATCAATACGTATACTGTGCGTAATACGTACAGTATTTTAAATTGTTTCTATCGTTGATTGGCTTAAAAATCTGTGGAACTTTATACGTATTATTTTACAAAAATGGCATTTAGTTAACACCAAATACGTGCTGTACGTAATTATCCTCTGAAATTTAGATGTGTAACCTCAACTATTTTTTTCTTCTATTACGTATTTAGACTTGGACAGAGTGATGTTCTTGTATAGAGAATTAGCCAATGATTCACCTGCAAAACCTGTGCGTTTTAAATTTACAATTGGTTAAGGGTATATTATTGCAAAAATCCTCGAGTGGTCTTTTTCCTACCTAATTTCCTATCTCGTTGTTACTCACACTGTATCTAATTTTGTCAGGGTAGCATTTTTGCAAAGAGCCTCGATCAGCATTTTCTGGTCAAATGTCCAATCTGATTATCATTGCGTAAAGTCTCGGCCAACGATACTCTTGCAAAATCTCCGTCTTATGGCTAATTTCTAAACTTTTTAGAGTGATGTTTTTGTATAGGGCCTCGGCCATTGCCTTTCCTGCAGAATCTCCAAGGCCAACCTTATAATCGAACAGGTTAATATTCTTGCATATATCATAGATCAGGTAATACATTTTTACGAACAATTAACAGTGATATTTTATTAGCTGAGAGCCTTTAGTATTCACAAAAACTATACTATATCGAGAGAACAGTTAAATGGATGCTTTTTATAATTTGGTTTAATTAGAAGATCGAATGGTTGGATCGAACTTGACAACGTATTTGTCGAGCAATAAACGTCATATCGTTGACGTAAGTGTAGTGCATTATCCTTACTCTACAATAAAACTTCTCGTAGGTTCTAGCCAGTCAGAGTCACTAGCTTCGTTATAAATAAATGCTAATCTATGAATTTTTTATAAAAGAACGAAGAAATCTTTCCTAAGAATTAAGGGAACAAAACATTTGATGTTGGTGGAACAAGTAATTCGTTGTGTGTATGACACCTCCCACATTCGTGTATACAGGATATGTTAACGAACATTTTTCCTGTTATACAGTAGGTGTCATTGCTTGCTGTTTCAGGAATCACTCCATTTTTGAATTTTGCCAGTCTATCGATGTCCGTCGAGAAAATCTCCATTACTTACTCATCGGTGCCACATTTATTTTTCACGTATCTTAACTGAAATCGTTGGTATGACAGAAGAAAAATGAGCCAAATAAATTTGAAATGGAACCAGCGAAGAGATTCGAATAAGATGCCAAGGCTCTTAAAACTCCACCGAAACATTCGTTCTTGTCATACTACAATCTGGAGAAAATTGTATGTACAAGCTCAAAATCTCACGCAATGTAAACGTTTGTGCGAGGTGAGTATTATGATGAAATTATAATTTTTGACATACTTTAAAATATGGAACGGATGAAAGAAAAAGATATTATAACAGTTAATCTCACCAACCTCTTTTTTAATACTACAGCCTTTGACTTAAAGTATATTTGTGAACAAATTAAAGCCAAGTCATGTTATATTTTTAGAAATCTCTTCTACATGAAAAAAAATTTGCTGTAAATAGCTATAATAATGAAAAGATTAAAGAAGTAGTAACAGGTGAAAACTTTTACTTGAGAGAAACTATAGTGGAATAAAATCAACTAATATTAAACTATATAGAATACTTGATGACAAGTTGTTCATCCAAAGAGCATGGAATTAATACCATTCTAAATAGATCAAATAATTTGACAAATTTTATACTAAATAAAAACCAGTATATATAGTATATAAGCAATTAGAAATCTTATCAGAAATAAGAAGCAAATAAGAAAATTTAGCTAGGTATATACTGTATGCAGCAATGGCTAGATAGGAATAGAAACATAATAATAATAAAATTATATATATTTTTTTTAAGTTGACAAAGTTATATCATATAGTTTTTATTTAATCTTTATTACCTTCTTTTAAATACAAATTTAATTGTGAGAATATATATTTATGATAAAAAAAAACTACTAATTCAGTATCTTGACAAACCCTGTAACTTACTGCAATTAATCCAGAATAAATATTAGTATGTTATAACTCTAGTAATATTGAAACTTATAGAAAAATTGAGTTGAAAAAGTACTTACTTATTTTTTAAAATTTCTCTCATACTATAATTAGTTACTTCTATATATAAATATCTTTTAATGCCCTATGGGCTTTCTTTCTCTTGTGACTTCTTATTTATTTAACTATTTTATCTTCTTGTTCTCCCTCTCTTCTTCTTTTTGAAGATTCATTATAATTTCTTCGATTTTATAACCAGGTTATACTTCAGTTTTCAAATTCCCTTCTTCCCATGCCAAACCACACTATTACTATCTTTAGAGCTACTATCGCTGCTTCTTTATTACCTGTGACTAAAGATGGGTCCCTAAAGGGAGAGGTAGGGACATAAGTCGAATGTCCTTCACTAGAAAAAATTAAAATTTTTAAATTAATAACTATAAAAAAACTACCCACAATTGTTCTCCATTATTCAAATCATTGATTTATAGCATTTCCTGATTTTTGTTCCTATTGAAGTAAAGAGTTATGAATTTTATCCCTCAAAAAAGGACATAAGTAATCTGCAAAATTTTATATGCTAAATACTTTAGGGACCCATCATTACCTGTAACTTCACTGCAACTTGTCATATATTGTGGATAAGAATCCTCTAATAATGTCTATTCATTCTACTTCATTGGATTCCTTTGTTTCTCCTACTTTTTCTGTTGATTTGAGAAATTATTTCTGCTCTTTTGATTAGTTTGGAATGATATAATTTTGGATGGCTAATTTACATATGATTATATTCAAGTCTATCTTCTTGGACTTAGGGATCTTTAAGTCACTTCTGCATCTATCTTAGAGTTCTCCATTTGTTTGCCCATTTGATTTTGAGAAGAGTTTTTTCTACTATTCTAAAAGGAAGGTCTATGAAGAACTAGTCTCATCTAAGTACCATTATATCACTTGTCAAGTTTAGCTCTTGAATTCTTATAATGTCTTGGACTTGTTTATCAGTATAGTTATCACAAGTTTGTCTACTAATTTATTTCCTTGATTTACTGAGTGGCTTTTTATTTTTGTTTACTTAATCTCGATTCTCTGTATAGCTATAATCACAAAGATTGTATTAACCAAACTTCTGTTTGAACTTTTTGTTTTTTTATTTCTGATTTTATCTGTCTTAACTGTCTTCTTTATCATATTAATCAAATATTGACTGTCTGTAATAATATTTATTCTTCTTTCCACATCTACTATATGCTTATTATTAATATTGCTGTTAGTTCTGCTCTAGTAGAGAATAGAATATCCTAGGCTTCTATCTGAAAGATAGTTATTTTAGTTCTTGACTTTGTTTTAAATTACCTATTTAATCCCCATTCTGCTGTCAATGTATTGCCTTGTGATAAAACTATCTGTAAATATTTGTAAGTTGTCCTGAAAAGTAATTTCTTATACAATTTGCTGTAATCTTGCTATTGTTCTTATAGAGATCTCAGTCTTTTCTGAATCAAGGCCTTTGTAATTAATAAGAAGTCTAAATATTGTTGATAAAGTTGTATTGGTGGTTGTCTTTTAATCTCTCTAAGCTCATACTTTATATCCTAGAGAGATAATTAAAGTCTGTTTATTAGAGGTTGCCTTGTATTTGTCTCCTGTGATTTTGGATTTTGAAATGTAGTCCTTGATACTCTTCAATATCTTAATATTTACTGAATTTATGAGCAGTTGTATCATTATACAGTATATCAAATTTATCCTTCTTATATTGATAACTCTTATTTAATTTACTGCTTACCCCAGGAACCTTCTCCTACTTTCAAAAACTTTTAAAATTAGTTCAAAGTTAAATTTGTTGCTACTTCTTATACTTTTGTGATTCAATATTATTTTAATCAAATTCTTTCTACTTCTATTTTTCATTTTAAATATACACTATCAAAAAATTAAGTTTTACTATCTAATATATACACATTTATTCTTTTGACAACATTTATTTGAAACTCTTATCTACTATTATACAATTTAACTTCATTACTGTTGATTTCCTTGAACTATCTAATTTATCTATTGATTGTATACCTTGGATAGGTTACTTTACTTTGATTCTATCCAAAACTTACAATTATTACAAAAACTTTTTCTATTTTAACAAAACCTTATATTTTTAATCACTTTTTAATTTTTTTATTTCTTTTTCTTATATTTTATCTCATATTTCTATCTTTTTTAATAGTACGCATATCTATACAATAATGACAATACTTAAAGATATCTATAATTATTTTGACAATAGCTTTTGCCCTTACACTTCAATATTCTATAAGTGGAGCTCTTCTCCAGTGATGAAACTCAGGATTCTATAACTTGACTGATTTCCTTTGAAAAGACTATGATAGTTAAGCAATAAAAAGATAAAAAATTAATTCATATGCTCAATGCCTACTTCTAAAATGAAGTTAAGAAATGGTGGATAACATATTTTGAAAACAATAATACTAATACTAATGCCATAAAATGGAAGGCCATTTCTGATGAACTCAAAAATGCAACTTTGTATCCAATGATGGATCAATAAATAGACATATAATTTTGAAAAATATAGGCAAGAACAAATTGAATCTGTGACTATTTACCATACTACTTACAAAAAACTTCTTAAAAGAACTAATATTGAAGATTATATAAGTTCTAATCAATATCTTTACTATTATATTAGGAATTACTATTACATTTGGTTTCAATTATTTCTATGAACAATCCTAATAGTGTGATT